GTTGTACAGGACTTTGGTGAGGGCACACTTGGAATACTGTGTTCAATTTTGGTCACCTTGCTATAGGAAGGATGTTATTAAACTGGAAAGAGTGCAGAAGAAATTTACAAGTATGTCGCCAGGACTCAAGGGACTGAGTTATAGGGAGATGTTGGACAAGCGAGGACTTTTTTCTTTAGAGCATAGGAGACTGAGGGGGGGATCTTATAGAAGTGTATAAGATCATGAAAGGCAGGGATAGGGTGAATGCACTCAGTCTTTTTCCCAGGGTTGGGGAATCGAGGACTAGAGGGCATCAGTTTAAGGTAAGAGGGGAAAGAATACATGGGAACCTGAGGGGCAACTTTTTTACACAGAGGGTGGTACGCATATGGAATGAGCTGCCAGCGGAAGTGGTTGAGGTGGGTACATTAACAACATTTAAAAGGCATTTGGACAAATACATGGATAGGAAAGGTTTAGAAGGATATGGGTCAAGTGCAGGGAAATGGGGTTAGCATGGATGGACATTTTGGTCAGCATGGACCCGTTTGGGCCAAAGAGCCTGTCTCCGTGCTGTAGGACTCTATGACACTATGATTCCTCAGCTTCTGATGCTCCAGGGAAAATAGCCCCAACCCTGTAACTCAAACTCTCCAACCCTAGTAACATCCTTGTAAATCTTTTCTGAACCCTTTCAAGATTCACAACATCCTTCCTATGCAAGGAGACCAGTATTGCACACAGTATTCCAAAAGTGGCCTAACCAACGTCCTGTACAGCCACAACATGACCTCCCAACTCTTATACTCAATGTCCTGACCATTAAAGGCAAACATACCAAACACTGCCCTCGCTATCCTGTCTACCTGCAACTCCACTTTCAAGGGACAATGAACCTGCACTCCAAGGCTTCTTTGCTCAGCAACACTCCCCCATGCATTCAACAAGGTTTTGCATGGTAGACTGGTTAGCAACGTTGGATCACATGGAATACAGGGAGAACTAGACATTTGGATACAGAACTGGCTCAAAGGTAGAAGGCAGAGGGTTGTAGAGGACAGTTGCTTTTCAGACTGGAGGCCTGTGACCAGCGGTATGCCACAAGGATTGGTGCTAGGTCCACTGCTTTTTGTCATTTATATAAATGATTTGGATGTGAACATAGAAGGTATGGTTACTAAGTTTGCAGATGACGCCAAAATTGGAGGTGGAGTGTAGAGTACAACAGGATCTTGATCAGATGGGCCAATGGGCAGAGGAGTGGCAGATGGAGTTTAATTTAGATAAATATGAGGTGCTGCAATTTGGAAAGGCAAGTCAGGGCTGGAATTACACACTTATTGGTAAGTTCCTGGGGAGTGTGGCTGAACAAAGAGACCTGAGTGCAGGTTCATAGTTCCTTGAAAGTGGAATCGCAGATAGATAGGATAGTGAAGAAGGCATTTAGTATGCTTGCCTTCATTGGTCAGTGCATTGAATATAGGAGTTGGGAGGTCATGTTGCTGTTATATAGGATGTTGGTTAGGCCACTTCTGGAATGTTGCATGTAATGCTGGTCTCCCTGCTATAGGAAGGATGTTGTGAAACTTGAAAGGGTTCAGAAAAGATTTACAAGAATGTTGCCAGGGTTGGAGGGTTTGAGCTATAGGGAGAGGCTGAATAGGCTGGGGCTATTTTCCCTGGGGTGTCAGAGGCTGAGGGGTGACCTTATAGAGGTTTATTAAATCATGAGGGGCATGGATAGGATAAATAGATAAGGTCTTTTCCCCAGGGTGGGGGAGTCCAAAACTAGAGAGCATAGGTTTAAGGTGAGAGGGGAAAGATTTAACAGGGACCTAAGGGGCAATCTTTTCACACAGAGGGTGGTGTGTGTATGGAATGAGCTGGAAGAGGAAGTGGTGGAAATGGTACAATTACAACGTGTGAAAGGCATCTGGATGGGTACATGAATAGGAAGTGTTGAGAGGCATATGGACCAAATGCTGGTAAATGGAACCAGATTTATTTATGATATCTGGTCAGCATGGACAAGTTTGACAAAAGGATCTGTTTCCGTGCTATCCATCTCTATGACTCTATAAGTTAAGCTTCACAACCCAACTTAGTTATTCCCCAATTAATGGTGGAGCTTTGCTACAATTCCGACCAACAGCGTCAGTTTCTGGGTATGTGCAGTGTGGCTGTCTGGAGTTCAGCTGCTGGAGAACCCTAAATTTCTATCAGATTTTCTGCCTTGTTAAGTTCATGATGTGACATTATTTCCAACACTTCTCAAGTCACCAAATATGTAGCTTGTTTTCTTATCAGGAGTTGAAAGCCAGTTGCTGTCAACTGAGCTTCTCTGTTTCTTGTGACATTCGGTGTTAGCTGCCTGAAACACAGCCCGTCCTGCCATTAACTCCTTAAATTACTCTGCACGGCAATCATTTGTCTATGTGGCATAAGGCAGCCAATTATCAAGCAAATGTTAGATCCATTTGTTTATGTAGTTCGACACCTTCTTGTCCCGGGGATAGCTAATTGCTTTTAATTCCTTTTTAACAGTTTGTCTGTGTCCTTTTCATCTCAAGAAACAGTTTATTCCAGGAAGAATTATTGTTAATTCTTTCAATCCCTGAACAATGTCTAGAGTTTACAGTATCACAATGGGAATCTTCAAGAGGGGGACACTTTCTGGACTGGAGGAAGAGATTGCAATGTTTGGTTGGCAGAGTCTTGCTCCCCATAGTCGTGCGCTGGACTAACTGTAAAGTCTTGTTTAATTATCCTTGAGAAGGTGGTGGGAGACTACCTTCTTGAACTGCTGCAGTCCCATCATAGACCTCCAATTCCGTCAGAGAAGGAGTTCCACGATTTTGACCCAGCGACACTGAAGGAATGACGATATATTTCCAAGTCAGGATGGTGAGTGGCTTTGAGGGGAACTTGCAGGTGGTGGTCTTTGTATGTATCTGCTGCCCTTGTCCAACTAGATGGTAGAGGCTGTGGGGCTGGAATTTGCTATTGAAGGTAAGTTTTTGCAGTGCATCTTGTAGATAGTACCCACTGCTGTTACTGGGCATCAGTGGCGGAGGGAATGGATACTTGTAGATATGGCACCAATGAAGTGGGCTGCTATGTCGTGGATGGTATCAAGCTTCTTGAGTTCTGTTGGAACTGCACCTATGCAGGCAAGTAGTCTTTGGCAATTAAGTTGAAAAGTCTATGAATATTTTAGCCAGATTTTGCCTCAGTGCCTCTGATTTAAACTTTGTTTTAAAATAAAACCATTAAATATGTTATACTTGTAAATGTTCTGTAAAAAATGGCAAAAAAATCACGGAATAACAATATCCATGACTGTACTTAAAAGTTACAAGTGCTTGCAGTATGTTCTACTGATTACATTATTTAAATACATATGATTATAAACTCATTTATCCTCTGATTGATTTTGAAAACAATGCTTCATACATGGCCTTCAATAACTAGCTGTTTTCTTGGTCTACCTCTCAGATGTTTAAAGCAGTTACTACAGGGGTTGGTTTAGCTCAGTTGGCTGGATGCCTGGTTAGCAAAGCCACGTGATCCCAGGAATGAAAAGCTTAATACGAACGTTTGAGGACTCTGGGTCTATACTCCTTGGAGTTTAGAAGGATGAGGGGGGACCTGATTGAAACTTGCAGAATACTGAACGGCCTGGACAGAGTGGATGTTGGGAAGATGCTGCCATTGGTAGAAAAGTCTAGGACCCGAGGGCAAAGCCTTAGAGTAAAGAGAAGACCTTTTAGAACAGAGATAAGGAGAAACTTCTTCAACCAGAGTGTGGTAAATCTATGGAATTCACTGCCACAGAAGGCTGTGGAGGCCAGGTCATTGAGTACATTTAAGACTGAGATAGACAGGTTCTTGATTATCAAGGGAATCAAGGGTTACGGGGAGAAAGCGGAAGAATGGGGTTGAAGAACTTATCAGCCATGATTGAATGGTGGAGCAGACTCGATGGGCTGAATGTCCTAATTTCTGCTCCTATGTCTTATGGTCTTAAGACCATGGTGACTTGAATACTGACTAGTGTGCACAGTGTGGGTTTAATTGAGGTTTGTTGTTGAGGGACTATGTTTCTTGAACTCTCCCCATGGGGACCCTCAGGTTAAACCACGACCAGTCATCTCTCTGTAATGAGAGGGTAATGCTATGGTCTGATAAGATAGTAGTGACTTTGCCCTTGCATGCAAAACACAGTAATATCCAAAGTTTTCCTTTGGGAGTGACAGAGCATCACATTCCCTTGACTGTGTCTCCCTTGACTGCGACTCAATACTGTGGAGGACCTCATGTGATTTGTGATTACACGAGGACCTTTCACAGAACCTGTGCAATACTCATTCAGCCTCTACGCTGTGAACCCAAGTTGCCAATATAACACTGCTAAAAAGTGACTGTAAAAAATGTCCATTTTATCAACTCACATTTGAACTGTGGAAAGTGCTTGTGAAATTCAATGAGAGATTTTCCTGGAGAAAGTTAGCATAGCTGTAAAGTTAGACAGCATGTTACTAAGATCAGTATTTTTACCAGTACTGGGGGGCTGGTTAGCGACACCGACATAGTGGGCTAAGCTGAGGTTACCTGTCCCCTACCTGAGGTGTGGTGACCCTCAGGTTAAACCACCAGTCATCTCGCACTCTAATGAGAGAGTGGGACAATATAGGCTTTACCTTTACTTTAGTAGCAATGCAACTAAGTTGCTCAGTAGTCATTTAGCTCAATGAGCTGAATGTATGGTTTGTGATGCAGTGAGAGAGTCCCGCTATGGTCTAAAAGGACTATGGCAACTTTGTAAATTTCCCAGCTGAGAGAGCCGTTTAATCCTGGCTGTGATTTAAACCACAGTAGACTTTTCTTTTTGTAACTGTGATTGACCTTATTGAGTCTAATCAGCATCCTTTATTACTAAGGCTGTTGAGTGTATTAGTGTAGAATTACATTGTCAGGGTAATGTGTATTCACAGTGCTCATGTTATAAACTGTTTTAGGTCATAGAGCTTCATGTCTTCTGTGTCCCAGCTGAACTGTGGAGCAGTAAATTGAATACAGTTTCCAACCACGCCATAAACAAGTTCATCTCAGTGGGGTTCATCAGGTAAGGATTAACACTGATTTTTTGCTCTGAGTCTCTGTTGACAGTGCAGTCCAAAGGCAGCCTGGACAGGTTTGTGTTTGTGGCAGTTTCAGAGTTTCCAGTTTAGAACAGAGAGCAAAGAACATAGAACATAGAACAGTACAGCACAGTACAGGCCCTTCAGCCCACAATGTTGTGCCAAACTTTTACCTTAAACCTAAGGTCTATCTAACCTCCACCCCTACCTTATACTATCATCCATATGCCTATCTAATAGCCGCTTAAATGCCCCTAATGAGGCCGACTCCACTACCCTCTCTGGCAATGCATTCCACGCCCCTACCACTCTCTGAGTAAAGAACCTACCTCTGATGTCTCCCCTATATCTACCTTCACTCACTTTAAAACTATGCCCCCTCGTAATAGCTACCTCCACCCCAGGAAAAGTCTCTGGCTTTCCACTCTATCTATACCTTTGATCATTTTGTACACCTCTGTCAAGTCACCTCTCATCCCTCATCGTTCTAAAGAGAAAAGCCCTAGCTCTCTCAACTTTTCCTCGTAAGATCTTCCCTCCATTCCAGGCAACATCCTGGTAAATTTCCTCTGCACCTTTTCCAACGCTTCCACATCTTTCCTGTAATGAGGCGACCAGAACTGGCAGTTTGCAGGCTCTAGCCACCTCCTCTTTACCATGGATGTCCAATCCCTTTACACGTCCATCCTCCACCAGGATAGTCTCTGGGCTGTTCGCTTAAAGAGTCATAGAGCTGCACAGCACGGAAACAGATCCTTCAACTCATCAATGCCAACCAGATATCCTCAATACATCTAGTACGATTTGCCAGCAATAGGCCCATATCCCTCTAAACTCTTCCTATTCATGCACCCATCCACATTCTGTTTAAATGTTGTAATTGTACCAGCCTCCACCACCTCCTCTGGCAGCTCATTCCATACACGCACCAACCCACTGTGTGAAAAAGTTGTCCCTTTTTTTAATTCATTCATGGGATGAGGGTGTCGCTGGCCAGGCAGCATTTATTGCCCATCCCTAATTGCCCACAGGGCAGTTAAGAGTCATCCACATTGCTGTGGGTCTGGAGTCACATGTAGGCCAGGCCAGGTAAGGATGGCAGTTTCCTTCCCTAAAGGACATTAGTGAACCAGGTGGGTTTTTCCTGACAATTGTCAATGGATTCATGGTCATGATTAGATTCTTAATTCCAGATATTTATTGAATTCAAATTCCACCATCTGCCGTGGCGGGATTTGAACCCAGTCACCAGAACATTATCTGAGTCACTGGATTAACAGTCCAGTGATAATACCACTAGGTCATCACCTCCCTCCACACCTTAGGTCGCTTTTAAATCTTTTAAATCATCCCATCCAGATCCACCCCATCCTATTCCTGTAACACCACATTTCCCATGGCCAATCCACCTAGCCTGCACATCCCTGGACACCATGGGCAGTTTAGCACGGCCAATCCACCCTAACCTGCACACCCTCAGAGCGTGGGAGGAAACCAGAGCAGCCCACACAGACACGGGGAGAGTATGCAAACTGCACACAGACCGTCGCCCAATGCTGGATTCGAACGCAGGTCTCTGGCGCTGTGAGGCAGCAGTGCTAACCACTGAACCAACCTAAATGGTCTCGGTTAGGCTGGCTTTTAATTACAGATTTTATATAATTCAAATTTCACCATCTGCCATTGTGGGATTTGAACGCATTATCCTGGGGTTGACTGGATTAGTGGCACCATCATTTCCCCCACACGAATCAAAGTTGTCATTTCTCTAATTACTTTGTTTACTGAGCATCAGGGAGAATTATTGATCAACATTAGTGGAGCGAGATTTTCTGAATGCCTTGTATCTCATTGGCAGGGTTTTACCTGATCTGAATCTGAAAGCACTGAGGCAGCAGGTTGGAGAGTTGCTTGGAGCTCGGACTGTCGATGATAAATTTGCTTTCCTAAAATGTGTTGGAAGGAGTTTGGCAGTGGTGAGTCATTAGCTGCTAGGCCAACAAGAATGCATTCTGGTGTGTTTGGGTTCAGAGGAGGGGGGGATATGTGTTACTGTTTGGGATGGGGGTTTCAAATCCAACCATCACACACTCGTGTTAGTACATGTGACTGTGATGTTTTCGGATTGTTGTGTAAAATGAAAACCCCAAATACTTCAGCAATGCCCCTTAGCAGAGGGAAACCTTTTGCCCCTTATCCCCTCTACCCTCTGTGTGACTACTGTCCCAACAGCCCCCCTCGTATACAAGGCAGACTGAGCAACCACTCAACTGAGCTACTTCATATGAAAAGGGAGTGAAAGTTTACTGGGGAGATGCAGGAACGTAGAGTCGAGGTTAAAGTCAGATCAGCCCTGATCTTATTGAATGGCGGAGCAGGCTAGAAAGGCCGAGTGGCCGACTTGTTCCTTGTTCGTAACTTTTTTAACCTATTGGAGACATAGAAACATAGAAACTAGGAGCAGGAGTAGGCCATTCGAGCCTGTTCTGCTATTCACCATGATCATGTTTGATCATCCAACTCAGTCCCTTGTTCCCACTTTCTCCCCATACCCTTTGATCTCTTTAGCCATAAGAAATATCTTTAACTCATTGAAAACATTCAGTGTTTTGGCCCTGACCGCTTTCTGTGGCAGAGAAATCCACAGGCTCACCGCTCTCCAGGTGAAGACATTTCACCTCATCTCAGTCTGAAATGGTCTAACCTGTATCCTTAGACTGTGACAAGAGTGCCCTGCTGTGGTGTCCTGGTACCCAGGCCTTGCCGGTGAAGTTCAAACCCCAGTGAATGGTTGATTCAGTTTTAAAAAGCCAATAGTGTAACAGAGTGGGATATTAGCATTATAATGAGACAACAGAAGTCTTGCATTTACAAAGCATTTGATATGTCACTTATAAATGTCATGTCATTTGAAAGCTTTGTCATGGAGACGAGCTTGTAAATGGCACCTATGATCCTTGGGTTGCATGCAAGTGATTCCAATGAGTTCAATCCTTTTATTTAGGTCATCTGACCTTTCGGAAAGATCTCTCAGCTGCTTGTCCTGTGTCTGTGCATCCAGGACACATCAAACCTCAGTATTACCCTGTTTCCAAACTTTCTCCATATGCAGCCCACAAGGACATAGTTTGATGAGTACCTCGCAATTGTGCTCCGAGTGACTGCCTGGACCTGAAGCTGGTAAAATTGCTTTTCTTCTCGGGCTGGTGCAATCGAGCACTGATGCAGCGCTGAAGGAGGCCATCCGGCCCAACCAGCTCGTGTTAGCTCCTTGAAAGAGCCAAGAACCCCATGTGTCATTTTTAAAGTGATCTGCAAACGAAGCCAAGATGAGCTTTCACACAGTGAGTTATAGGGTGTGGGATGCACTGCCTGGAAACTGCAGGTTCAGTTGAGGTATTCAAGATGGCATTGGATGATTATTTGAATAGAAATGGTGAACAGGGATCATAGAATTATACAGTACAGAAGAGGTCCTTCGGCCCACTAAGTTTGTACTGCCAATTTCTTCTTATGTTGTTGGGCTATGGGGAAAGGCAGGCACTGGGTAATAGAACTGGCACAATGGGCTGAATGGCCTTCCCTTGCTCCATGACAATTCTGAGATTCTGTGACCTGTTCTGTGGCAGATGGAGTTTAATTTATATAAATGTGAGGTGCTGCATTTTGGAAAGGCAAATCAGGGCAGGACTTATACACTTAATGGTAAGGTCCTGGGGAGCACTGCTGAACACGGAGACCTTGGAGGCCTTGTGCAGGCTCATAGATCCTTGAACAAGTAGATAGGGTGGAGAAGAAGGTATTTGGTATGCTTGCCTTTATTGGTCAATGCATTGAGTAAAGGAGTTGGGAGGTTATATTGCGGCTGTGCAGGACATTGGTTCGGCCACTTTTGGAATACTGTGTTTAGTTCTGGTCTCCCTGCAATAGGAAGGTTGTTGTGAAACTGGAAAAGATTTACAAGGATGTTGCTAGGGTTGGAGGGTTTGAGCTATAGGGAGAGGCTGAATAGGCTGAGGCTATTTTCCCTGGAGTGTCGGATGTTGAGGGTTGACCTTGTAGAAGTTTATATAATCATGAAGGACATGGATAAGGTGAATAGTCAAGGTCTTTTCCCCAGGGTAGGGGAGTCCAAAGCTAGAGGGCATGTGTTTAATATGAGAGGGGAAATATTTAAAAAGAAACTAAGGGGCAACGTTTTCACGTAGAGGGTGGTGTGTGTATGCAACTGACTCCAGGTTAAAACACATCCAGATTCTAAGCAAGGCCTCACACCTAAATTGCATTGTGTGTCCTGAGATGTCACCTCTTGTATACACTGATAAAACCTTTAGTTTTCTCGTGCAGTGACTTGAAAAAAATTCTGGGATTTGCATATTAATCAATTGAAACCTGCATCTCCTTTCTAACTGATTAAAAGATTTAACAGGAGGGAGTCAGTCAGCCATTTTAGGTTAATTCAATACATTCACATCCGTTGTGTGATCCTTTGATCTTTTACTTATAAATTCTGAGTCTTGATACCTCCTCTCTCACTACTCCAGAGGAAAGAGCAGTGCTCAGAAAGCTAGTGTTTTCAAATAAATCTGTTGGACTATAATCTGGTGTCATGTGATTTTTGACCTTGTCCAGCCCAGTTCAGCACCGGCATCTCCATATTGCATATGGAATGAGCTGCCAGAGGAAGTGGTAGGAACTGGTACAATTGCAACATTTAAAAGGCATCTGGATGGGTACATGAATAGGAAGGATTTAGAGGGATATGGGTCAAATGCTGGTACATGGGACTAGATTAATTTAGGATATCTGGTCAGCCTGGACGAGTTGGACTGAAGGGTCTGTTTCCATACCGTAATCTCTATGACTGTTTGCCCTAGCCGTGAGAAAATTTCCCTGTTAATGTTTATCCTTTCGAACGGTAATATTGAAGATGTGCTCCACCACAGTTTGAGTGTGACGCAGTCCAGATTACAGCAACTTGCCTGACTTTCTTTTAAACCAAATTGTCCCCATCCCATTGTTTGTCTCAATACTGTCCGTGTCAGTTGAGAAGCTGCCTGAGCTCAGTGCTCCTGGTACATGTTGCTGTCCTCAATGCTCTGGCCAAACCAATCCCACCAAAGGCACTCCATCATCAGCCCCGATCTTCCCACTCCAGCATTTGTCAGACACAACCATTGTTCACTCAAAATGCAAATTGTTTGTGAAATCAGCACTTGCTTGTTAAAAAAAGTTGTAAAAATGCAAATTTCCTCGAGGGCGTTAAGATTAGACAGTCCCTTGCTGGACTTCAAAACAACACTGTTTTCCGACAGTAAAAGAAACAAGAATGAAATTTTAATGTCAGCTGCAAACGAAGCAAGGGTGAGCTAAAGAAACCCATTTTCACACAGCGAGTAGTTAGGGTGTGGAATGCACTGCCTGGAATTGTAGTGGAGGCAGCTTCAACTGAGGCATTGAACAGGGGAATTGGATGGTTATTTGGATAGAAATAATGGGCAAGGGTGTGGGGGAAAAGGCAGGTAATGATGTTCATTTAACGAGTAGGTGCAGGTATAATGGGCTGAGTGGTCTCCTTCTGCATTGTCACAATTCTGTGATTCTTTAATGTTCATAAACATTGCACTTTAATAGATTATATAAGACTGTGACTGCCGAGGGCTCCAAGACTTAAAAAGGTCAATTGCAACATTGTGTAACTGTGCACAATCAGTAATTTTATCAGTCAAGAGCGACAGTGTGAACTCCAGGACGTGTCAAGGCATGTTGGGGATTTGAAGAGCCTTTGTCCTTGTTATGGTTTACTGTATGTCACTGCAGCTCCTTGTTGTCAATGTTACAGAGTGTACGCTGTCTGGGTGTAGCTCAGTCTTGCCGGCTCTCAGGCCAGTTGCAACATGAGTCACTTACAGCTTTGTGCCCCCTCTCTAGGGAAAGATATACCAGCATTGGAGGCAGTCCAGGGAAAGCTCACTAGGCTGATCCCAGGTATGGAGGGACTGCCTTATGAGGAAAGGTTGAGTAGCTTGGGCTTGTACTCATCGGAATGTTGAAGAATGAGAGGCGACCTTATTGAAATGTACAAGGTGCGAAGAGGATTGGACAGGGTAGGTGCAGAAAAGTTGCTTCTGCTAACGGGAGAGTCAAGGACCACAATTAAGGGGTCATTCATTTAAGACGGAGATGAGGAGGAAGTTCTTTCCTCAATGGGCAGTGAATCTGTGGAACTTCTTCCCTCAGAGGGCTGTAGGTACTGGTTATTAAGTATATTCAAGGCCGAGATAGATTTTTAATAAGTAAGGGAATCAAAAGTTATGGGGGAAAAGGCATGAAACTAGAATTGAGGATTATCAGGTCAGCCATGATCTCATTGAATGGCAGTGCAGGCTCGATGGGCTGAATGGCCTACTGCTGCTCCCACATCATTTGATCTTAAGGTGATGTTACATTTTCATAGTCATAGAGTCACACAGCACTGAAACAGACCCTTTGGCCCGACTCGTCCATGCTGACCTAATTTAGTTTGAGAACATGGTCAGCATGGACTAGTTGGACTGAAGGGTCCCTTTCAATGCTGTATGACTCTATCTCAGGTTTCCTAAACCAAACTAGTCCTATTTGCTTGTGTTTGGCCTACCCTCTAGACCTTTCCTATCCATGTATCTATCCAAATATCTTTTAAATGTTATAATTGTACCTGCCTCTATCAGTTCCATACACGCATCACCCTCTGTGTGAAAAAGCTGCCCCTCAGGTCCCTTTTAAATCTTTCCCCTCTCACCTTAAACCTATGCCTTCTAGTTTTGGACTTCCCCACCCTGGGGAAAAAACCTTGGCTATTCACCTTATCTACGTCCCTCATGATTTTATAAACCTCTATAAGGTCACCTTCTGCCTCTGATGCTCTGGGAAAAAAAGTCCCAGCCTATCCAATCTCTCCTTTTATTCGTACCTTCTCCTCCCTG